AACTTACCTTATGCCTTGATTTTCCTTCGAAAATTCCTTGGAAATCTCTTAGATTGCTTACTTAGCGAATATTTTCGATTGCTGTATAATTTGTTTGGAAGTTCATTTTCACATGCCTGACGCATGCCTTTTTCGTACGCTTTCTTATTTGTTACAACAAATTTTATTAGTTTTATATTAGAACGCTCAATGAATATTCGCAGGGCCGGATTAACCATGTCGGGGCCCTTATAGAATGCCATTCTCGAGACCCCTTTGCAGCTAGCTGATGGGATATGAGTAGCATCAACGGACTGATGCTTTACTTCTCAGGAACTTACAGTAATAGATTTGTATTTGGGCTCATTGAAATTATCTTAATGAATAGGTTATAGATAAGTGAAGATCCAGATCTCATTAGGTATAGTATGTATACTCGTATAAGATAAGACCGTTTCACGGTCTCATTATGGAGCAGGAAAGGAAAATAAGACGCGGGTGTTTTAATTTTATTCTTGTTAAATGTAATAAAATATAACAAACGACAGAAAAAAGTTTTGACGCGGATGTTTTAATTTTAACTTTATTCTTGTTCAATGAAATAAAAAACAATAAACGAAAGAAAAGAGTTTTGGCAAATACATTAAGTTTAAATATTAACTTTTCTAATTCTTTTGGATATGAAATCATTCAGAAAATCTTAAAAGTTGACCTTTTCCCAATACATCATTTTCAATCGCCATTATCGACAATGAATTTAAACGGTTCTGAGACATTGACGAACGAAGACAGTTTTTATTAGTTTTAATTATGAAAAAATTCGTTCACCCGTTGCGTTTGATATCATCAGACTTCTTCAGATATTTGCAATGCTATCATTACATTCGAGAAAGTTGATTATACCATATTATCAAAAATTAATTTGAACAATTCCTCGGCAGGTCTTTTCCTGCAATCCCCGCATCCTCTAATTGTAAAATGAAGTACTTGAACTTTACCATCTCGTTTATAAGCTCGGGCTCAATGTCTTCGGAACAATGTTTACAAAATTTTATACAAGCCTCTTTAATTTCATCATTTTTCTTATTCATAAAATCTGTTATAAATCCAGTTGCCGTGACAATTCTGCATACAGCATATCTAATACAGGCAAATATGTTTCAATATTTAACTTATCTTTTCCTCTGATCACAACTTCATCTGCAGATCTATTATCGTGATGCCTTTTTCTTTTTCGCACACGCTGATTTTCATCACTGTATTCGGTATCCGTTTTCTCATTTGCTTTCAACTCATAATCGTCAAATAATTCTCGCTGTGTTAGCAAAAAAACTAATAGCGACTTTAAAAGATCGACTGCAGCACGAAGTTGATTCGATCCAGTGTGTGAGCCCAAAATATTGCCATTACGGCATGTTCTTTTTTTTCCGAGTCCTTTAATAGACATCGAGCATCGTGAATCGTTTGCGATATCTGAAAGTTTTCTGTAAACTCTTGTAACCTTCTGACAAAGCCTTAGTCGCACACTACTTCAGTTTTAGTATCTATTACCCGCACGTCGTCTCGCCGATCTTAGGAAGACACTGGCAGTCTTTATAAAAAAAATATAGTACTCGTATCCCAATTCGTAAGTTTTGAAACACAGAGCACAGTACAACTTTTTAAACTAAATTCACGGTCACTCACAAATCGCTACGTAATGCATCCAACGAATCAGGTATTCCCCCAATGTTAATGAAGTCTAGTACTCACTCAGCCGACAACTCACCGGCTGCGTTTCGAATTAATGCTTATACTTTAAGTATAAAAATATCTAGCACTTTTCTAGCCATAAGTATTGAAACACAGATGAAACTAGAAATTTTTAAATTAAATTCATTCACGGTCGCAAAACTCACAAAACGCAATTACACATTATTTTTTAAGCATTTCAAAACTTTTGTACTCGTATATCATACAAGACCCTACGTAACGTATACATATTGTTAGTTCTACTAAGTAAAGTTCTGTAAGTATGAAGTATTCCATTGACTGACGGCATGCGTCGCTAAAACGCAATAATACTTACTGTCATTGCAGATATAATTTTTCCAATTAAATTTTCTCTGTATTAAAGATTTTCCATTACTTTTGTGCGCGCGCGGAGCCCCTAACCGATGTGGGGCCCCTAGGCAGTTGCCTACTCTGCCTAATGGTTAATCCAGCCCTGGATATTCGTAAAAAAAATTGTGCGTCATGTGACGAATAATTGGGATGAATTTGCTGTTATGTCTCATGACTGTCATGGCAACAAATAATGGGACAAAAGAAGAGTATACATTAGATATGTTACAACACTCTACATATGGCGGTTTCTACGAGTTAGTTGCAGCCGGTCAAATATACCAATTTGTATTTGAACTGTATCGAAATGGCAACTTGTATGCCAAATTTGGTACATAAGACCAACCCATCAAAAGGTTACGTTTTTCCGAAGATCTTTCTTATGGTCACTTTGATGCCGATGGAGATAAAATTGAAATGGCTGTATCTCCAACGTTTACTGAATTGCAAAGTGAAGTGTACAGGTACTTCGGTTTAGCTCTGACATCGGGACGTCAATCACCTCAGTCCCCCGTGACCACGGTTGCTGGAAAGCAACCGAAACGTCGGGAATATAAAATAAGTTAATTAAACGCGATAAAATCCGTAAAAGTAGTTTTATTCAATAGTTTAATTACACGCAAGTTTTCACTAAAAACCTTATAGTTATTACTATACTTCCAATTTTCCGCTAGTTTTATGTCAATTTTCAATAAAAAAATAGCTTGGAAAATCAAAATATGCACAACTCATAAGATTGTGAAAAATTTTAAAAAATTGTAAATTGTAGTTCTATTCGTCAAAGAGTTCCAGTAGCAGTCACTGAAGTCCACGTTCAAGTCACTCCATAAAATCCGGAGGTAAGGTCTCATCATAACTGACAAAACGAGGCCAAACTAAGCTCACCTAGTTCTACTCTTCGAGGAGTTCCAGTAGCATTCACTGAACTAACTCTATCAAGTCCGGAGGTAAGATCTCATCATAACTATCTAAACGAGGCTAAACTCAGCAAGAAAAGAAACAGAAAGAAACAGATTTTATTTGGCACATGCAGCACACTCAAGCGGATTACATAAAACACATAACATTTAAGTAGTCATACAAACAAACAAAAAAAAACAAAAAATTATACATAGAAATCATGAAACAGGACATTAACTCCTTGTTTATAGATATGGTAAAATTAAACAAAAAAAAAAGAACAAAAAAGCAAACAATAATATTGAAAAAAAATAATAATAAAGAACTAGAGAATAAGGAGTAATGCATAAGGTGTATTATAAAGATAATCCACCCGTTAATGCTGCTCTGCTCCAAAAAGGAAAGCCACTCAGGATATGTTGGAATATATCAGAAGCACCCCAACCCTGATTTTCAGTGGCACCCTTATATATTTAAGATAAAAATACACAAATAAGTATAGAAAAAAAATATATATATATACGTATATTATATATTCCTTATGTGCAGAGGGCAGTTCTGTTGTGTTAAACCAAATATAATAACAAAAATTTATTTCTTACAAGTGTATATTTATTTACAAGTGTATATTTCTTTCAAACCAAATGAGAGTACTTTAGCCATACAAAAATTACATGAAGACTTAATATACTAAATAGGCAGTTGTTTTTCTCTAAATTAAACTATGGATTAAGCTCGGAAACTATAGATTGGTTTCGTAGCTATTTTAATGACCCTAGGCAAATTGTCGAAGTAACAGATGAAAACGGCAAAAAAATAGCATCTGATTGCTGTGCTGTTACAAGAGGTGTTCCGCAGGGTTCAATACTAGGTCCCTTGATTTTTTCGCTGTATAGTGCTGATATCGTAAAACATATATTAAACTGTAGCTATCATATATATGCTAATGATATAATAACTGTGATTCTAAGTAGGTCCTGACGTCATCATAGTGGGCGTGGCGTTATTTAGTATACTGTCAGCATTCGTCCTGTGCGCTTATATGTTGAAAATCGCAAATCGGTGTATTTTCGTAGTATTAAGAAGAAAAGGATGACGTGTTGTGTTTTATCGTGTAAAAACTACGCAGATAGACGCTCTGATGCTATGGATGGCATCACATTTCATTTGTAAGTAACTTTATACCTAATTTATTAAAATAGTTCTAGAAAAATCTCTGCGTCGGCTTTCAAATATAATTAAATATATTCGACACTAGATAGCGACACTTTGTGTCATGTGAACTAAAAATATAAAGGTACGTAGAGCTCAGTATTGGTAAAATAATCATACGAAGGTGCTGAAATTTGTTTTGCATTCAGTCCTAAAGAATTTTTAATCGCCAAAATATTATTTTTATAGCTTTTATAATCATTTTGTGAACAGGCCGCCATCTATCGTCAAGGTAGCTAAACTACATTGGAACATCGATATGGAACGATACGAGTAGTTTTACTATTAATCGGTAGATGTAGATAGTAAAATGGGCGGGGTTTAACATTCCCTCGCCCCGCCAATTGTCACGCGTTGTTACATAGTAAAATCTAATTACAACACCTTCTCTTTGTATTTTCTTCATGGTGTATTTAGTAAAATGAATTAACAAAGCAGCTCAAAACACTGAAAATTTCGGCATTTCTTAGCCGAAAAAAAATAATTATAACTAAACTAAACAAAATTAAACTGCCACACTATATTATGCCATACTTCAGCTATATCTTGGTCGTAGCACGAAAGGGTCAGCTCGACCGGTGAAGGACCACGCTCTCACAAAATACCAGCGTAAAGTAGCAGCTTAATGCTGCTGTGTTTCGTATGGTGAGTGTAGAGAAACGGAGACCCTTTTTTACTGGAAATGAAGCATTCCATCTTTGTCCTCAAGAGCGATTTTCGCATTTTGATTCTTATCTTATCGAGGATAGATGTAGATGTCTATGAGCCACTGAAGCCATTTACCATCAGGTGGACTGTGTGATCGTTTGTTACCCTTAGTCCTAAAATCCACTACCCCATTGAGTACCCACTTGGGTGACGTAAAAGGCTATAGAACTAAAACGGGAGAGACCAGCAGTATGTTTTTTTTTTATAGGAGAGGGGGCAACCGAGCATGCGGCTCACCTGATGGTAAGTGACTACCGCCGCCCATGAACAACTACAACACCAGGGAGGGAATTGCAGATGCGTTGCCGGCCTATTAAAAAGGAGTACGCTCTTTTCTTGAAGGTTCCTAAGTCGTATCGGTCCTGAAAAATCGCTGATGGTAATCGATTCCACAAGGAAGTCGTGCGAGGAAGAAAACATCTTCTAAATCGCACGGGGGTGGACCGCCAATCATCCAGATGGTGTGGATGGTATCGGGAGTTCTGCCGCGATGTGCGTTCGTGAAATTGGCGGCTGGGATTAATCCGAACAATTCCTCAGAGCACTCCCCATGGTAGATGCGAAAGAAAATGCAAAGGGATGCAACATCTCTTCGCAGTGCCAATGGATCGAGCCGATCGGAAAGGCCTCGGTCGTCGACGATTCGAGCCGCTCTGCGCTGGATGCGGTCAAGTGGAAGGAGCTGGCACTGGGGAGCCCCTGCCCAGAGATGGGAACAGTATTCCATGTGGGGCCGAACCTGCGCCTTGTAAAGTTGCAGGCGGTGTGCCGGCATGAAATACTGTCCCGCTCTGCTGAGCACGCCAAGCTTTTTAGAGGCCAATTTGTCGTCGTCACTCAATATGTCCACTCCGAGGATACCGATACTGGCTGAGGCAAGAAGGGGAGTGCCTTGAAACTGAGGAGATACGACAAAGGGGTTCTTTTTAGCGGTAAACGCGCAAACTTGTGTCTTCTGAGGATTAAACTGGACTAGATTTAGTCGCCCCCAATCCCAGACTTTGTTCAGCAAAGACTCGACTTCAGACACAAGTTTGTTCCGGTACTCGGCGACGTTTTCCCGAGAAATATTGGCATGGCCGGTGTATAGAGCATCACCAGTGCTGTCATCCGCATAACAATGAATGTTACCAGTTAACAACATATCATTGATATGCAGAAGAAACAGCGTTGGTGATAGCACACAGCCATGTGGAACACCAGCGTTAATAGGCTTGTAGTCAGAACATGCACCGTCTACAACGACCTTGATGCTCCGATCTGCAAGGAAGCTGGTGATCCAATTGTACAATTTCTCGGGAAGCCCATAGGAAGGGAGCTTCGAAAGAAGCGCTTTGTGCCAAACCCGATCGAAGGCCTTCGCAATGTCCAGACTAACGGCCAACGCCTCCACCTTGGACTCTACTGCCTCCGCCCATCTATGGGTCAGGTAGACCAGAAGATCACCAGCTGATCGACCCCGACGAAAACCGTATTGGCGGTCACTAATCAGCTGGTGATCCTCAAGGTACCGGATGAGGTGGCAGTTAATAATGGATTCCATTATTTTGGAGAACAAGGAGGTGATCGCGATAGGCCTATAGTTGGACGGGTCTAAGCGGTCGCCTTTTTTAGGGATCGGGTGGACAAAGCTGTCTTCCATGAATTCGGGACTACGCCTTGGGAGTAGTAGTACCGGAAAAGACGCGTTAGCCCGGTGCCAACTCCGGAGCACACGTCCTCAGCACAATTGGGGGGATTCCGTCAGGCCCACTCGACTTCTGGATGTCCAGGGAGAGAAGTGCTTTGCGAACCGAGCGCTGTGAGAACAGCACATCCGGCATGGAGCACTCACACCGCGGCATGGTCGGCGGTGTTTTCCCCCCGTCATCAAGAGTCGAGTTGGACGCAAAAAGGGAGCCTAAAAGGTCAGCTTTGTCTTTTGCGTCTTGGGCCAGTGAGTCGTCCTCCCTGTGCAGAGATGGTAGTGATGGCTTACAGAAATTCCCTTGGACAGCCTTGGCAAGAGACCAGAATGCACGGGTTCCCGAAGGAAGGCGAACTAGTTTCTCGCCAATTCTGCCTATTTGCTCTGACTTTGCCTTGGCAATAACTCTTTTGAAGGACCTGGAGGCGAAGTTATACTTCTTTTTAAGTGTGCTGGTGTTTACATCCCGAGTCGCCGAAGCCGCAGCCCAGGCTTGATAACACTCCTGCTTACTGCGTAATGCAGTCTTACAGGAGCGACCAAACCAAGGCTGAGATCTGCCTCCGATGGGTACCACAGATGATGGAATAAATAGTTCCATTCCCTGTAGCACCACATCAGTGACAGAGTCAGCAACAGCGCTGGGATCATCCGGCGAGAAGCAAACCCGCCCCCATGGGTAAGATGCAAAGAAAGATCGCATTCCGTCCCAATCCGCCGACCTGTAATGCCAAACACGGCGGCAACCTACAGAACGCAACCGCGAAGGAAGCGTGAGTGGCACCACACTCCGGATCAGACAATGGTCCGAAGAGCCGAGAGGGGCATCGACGGAAACCTGATATCCGTCTGGATGAGAGGTCAGCAGAAGGTCCAACAGGGAAGTTGTATGATCCTCCACATCTGGAATCCGCGTAGGCGAAGTAACCAGTTGTGTCAGACCATATGCCAAGGCAAAGTCATAAACAGATCTCCCCGCATGATCGGTTAAACGTGAACCGAGCCATTCGGCATGGTGGGCGTTAAAATCGCCAAGGATCACGATCTCTGCGGATGGGACCTGTTGTAGCAATGAATCTGTAGTCATTTGTACGTGGTCGATCAGTCGGTCTGTTTCGGCATTACCGCTATGGGACCTATAGAGGCACCCGTAGACGCGCGGATGGTCGTCGCTGTCTGTGAGTAGAAGGGGTTTTGTTTTTAATATTTTATTGAGTCTTGATTGAAATTTGGTTAATTCTGATATATTTTTTATTTCCTGTGGTAATTTATTATAAACTTTTATTGCCATATAGGAGGGGCCTGTATTTAACATTTTTGTTCGCACCTGTGTTAAGTATAATTTATTTATTTTACGTGTATTTATGTTATGTGTATCTTTAATCTTCTTGAAAATATTATTATTTTTGTGGACAAACAGGCATAGATCATAAATGTACATGCAGGGTAAGGTAAGAATATTTAATTGTTTGAAATACGGTCTACAACTAGTAGTGTTATCTATCTGGGCTAGTATTCTAACATACTTCTTCTGGGTAATAAATAGCTCCTGCACATCGACTCTACCTCCCCACAACATAACTCCGTACTTAAGCCACGAATGAGGATAAGCATAGTAAGCTGACAATGCAGTGGCTGTGTCAGTGGTGTATTTAATTTGTAATAAAGCAGACGTTAATTTTGATATTTTAGACTTTATTATATAATCAATGTGCGTTTTCCAATTGATGTTTGAATCTACTTTCAAACTAAAAGTTTAAAAGTATCAACTTCTTCTAGCTGTATATTAATAAATATATGTTTAAAGTTAATGGACTGCTTTTATATGTTTTAAATTGCATAATTTTGGTCTTTTTAAAGTTAATTTCATTTCATTTTCATCAATTTCATTAAATAAATAAATAATTAATTTCTAAGTTGCGATTTTCAAACCAATTAGTTACAGTTTGTAGAGTGTTGTAGAGAATATAGTTATAATTTGTGTTTTTATCGCAATTCACTAACACTGACACATCGTCAGCAAAGAGTACGCTTAATGTGTTTTCGTTATTTATTATCTTAGGTAAATAGTTTATGTATATTAAAAATCGGAGTTAAAAAGAAAGAGTTTGTTGGTGGATTTATAACGGGATGTCTATTTACCATATTATTGGAGTTAGAGCATTGACCTACAGTGGCAAAGTATTCGTTTAACATAATTGTTACGATGTGGAGGGGAAAAATTAATGTATTATGTTCTTTTAAAATTATATTTTGAGGTATTTTTATTTTATTTTTAACGGTTTTGTTATTAATAATTTTCCACATCGTTTTAGTTTTAGTGTCAGATTTTTCCATTTGTTTAATTTAATCTATTCTTTTTGATATTTTTATACATTTTTAACACTTTACTGTAAGTAGGTATTGTAATGTGCTCGTATAACCGCATTTTTAGTTTTATTTTGCATTATTTTTAATATTCTTTTATGTCTACACGATTTTTTTAATCATATCGAAAGCCAACTTTTATTAGTAATAAGGTTTTTAATTTTATTTCTTTGTAGTATTATGTGATTACATGTTTAATATTTTTGTTATGCTGGCTATGAAATCCTAGTAGTTCTTACTCATTCACGCATGTTTTTTTATCCTGCTGTCTGAATTAAAAAATTGACAACTGTAAAATGATCTCACCGAAATAAGCTACGTCGTTATGAAACTTTACACTACTTTTACTGACCGTGAGAAAAAAGACTGTACACGCCTACATCATGATATTATGGGGTTGTGGAATCTCTCACCCTTCCAATACTCGATATATTTTGTCATTCTAAAAAGAAAATTAACTAATCAAAAGCTTTTTCAAGTTTGCTCTACATTCCAGTGGATATTACTTATGTATCTAAAATGTTAAAAATAAGATAAAATAGTGATAATTTGGTGGTGGTAAGACACAGCGCTTCAGATTAACCTACATTAGGTACGCAAAGCCAGAAATTTTCATTGGCTAGATCGGTTGATTTAAATATTAAGTCAGTGTCTAGATTCTTCCATTGCATAATATTGAATTATCTTCAATGCCTTTTAATCTATCTGTCTACATGCAATATTTGTGACAACATATCAAGGTATGCACTGCGTGACCACAGCGTGCGTCATTTAGATTCTGTGATGTTAGTGCTTTTAGCCTTTTGGCTTCAGTTTTACCGGACTCTGGGCTATAAATATAGGTATGAGATATAAGCTAATGGGGTGATGATCATAAACATTTGTCCAATGTTACTTTCGTGACGGTGTTCACCTATGAGACGTTACTTTAACGTGGTAGAGCCCAGTCGCAGATATATTAATTGTATAGTTGTAGCACGGATGGATAGGCTCGACCGGAGAAGGACAACGCTCTCACAGAATACCAGCGTAAAATAGCTTTGCTATGTTTCGTATGGTGAGTGTAGAGAACCGGAGACCCTTTTTATTGGAAAAGTCGCATTCCATCTTAGTCCTCACGGCTAACAACGCATCTGAATTTCGATTCGAAAAACGATGATAAATGTAGATGTCTATGGACCACAACAACCACTTACCATCAGTTGGACTGTGTGCTCGCTTGTCACCCTTATCCTATAAAATTAAAATCATGCGCTTCACAGATGATTGGCCCTGGATCTTACGGATATATTATATTCTTACGGTTCGATGTTCGGTTCGGTTCGAGGCACCCAGGTGTGTACGCGGTGTGGAAGGGTGTCAATCTGCGGACACGCTGCGTCCCATCCGTTGTCCTGTCGGTGTTTGTGACACTAGGTGAGTGTGTAGTGTTGGTAAGTTACGGGACGGCGACGTTTGAGGTCCCCATAGAGTGGCCGTAACGGCACTTTGGAGTCGGAACGTTTGTTCCGCACGCGTAACGAGTAATTTGTCTATCTGAGTATGAGGCTATCTAGAGCACCGTTTCCCATTTGCCGGATCGCGACCCGGTACCGGGCCATCAAAATAAAATACCGGGTCGCAACATTCCCGCCTTGTTTTAAAAATAATACTTACTATCGATCGACGCATCGTTAACATTCATTTTTAAAACATTTTTACTATTAATAAATGTGTATTATTTTACTTAATGGAACCAGCTTGGGTTTAAAAGTATTAAGTGGGTAACGAAGGTACAGTGTGAAAATTACCGGGCCATGCCAGAACAATGTTTGTCCACTGTATCAACACTCTATCATTATGGGTGATTTTAACACGTGCCTTCTAAAAAATTACTCGCGCTCCTTTCGATTGAAATCTATAGCTCAAGCAGCTAACTTACATATTCTCCCTCTTTCTGCTACTCACTTTTTTCCAAATTGTTCGCCATCTCTTCTGGACCTTATTCTTGTTTCTTCCATTGATCATGTTGATAAACATGGTCAGTGTCCTGCTGATGCATTTTCATATCACGACTTGATTTACTTATCATACAAATTACGACCACCTAAACCTAAATCGAGAATCTTTCTGTTGCGTAATTTTGATGGTATGGATTTAGATCGTCTGAGAGATGAGGCTGCAAAGATCGACTGGAATGTTGTTCTTACTGGAGCTAACATTGACGAAAGGGTTAATAGCTTTAATTCTCTTTTAATACAACTCTACGACGTTCATGCTCCAATTCGGCCGGTCCGGATTAAGCATTTGCCTGCTCCCTGGCTTACTCAGGAGATCAAAAATTTGCAGCGTAAGAAAAATTTTGCAAAAGCCAGGTATAAATTTGATAACTGTGATACCAATAGAGATAAATATAAAAAAATTCGGAATCACTGCAACAGGTTGTGTAGAGATAAACAACGACGCTATATTCATAAATCTATACTCGATGAAGATAATTCCGGCAGAGTATGGAAATTTCTTAAGTCTCTTGGAGTTGGGAAAGCGAGTCAAAATAGTAGCCCCAAAAATATTGACTTAAACCAGCTAAATCAGCATTTCTCTTCTTCTTGTGTCATAGAGGAGGTCACAAAAATACAAACTAAAACTCAAATTTCAGCTTTACCCAAATCTGACAATCCTGCGTTTATTTTTAGTCAAATCACTGATAGTGATGTTAAGAAAAGCATTGTTGAGATCAATTCTGATGCAATTAGTACAGACTGCATTAGTCGTAAAATGATTATCCCTATTGTCGATATCTTGACTCCTGTTATAAAATCCATCTTTAATTATTCCATTTCATCCGGAAATTTTCCCTCTTCCTGGAAAGAACCCCAGATAACTCCTATACCCAAAAAAGCAAATCCCTCCAGTTTCTCTGACTACCGCCCCATATCCATAATTCCATTCCTTTCAAAAGTTTTTGAGCGTATAGTTCATCGACAATTGAGCATCTACTTATCTAGGTGGAGTCTTTTCAATTCTTTCCAATCCGGTTTCCGTGTTGGTCATAGTACGACTACTGCCTTAGTCAAGATTACAGAGGATATTCGTCTAAGTATGGATAAACAGCACGTAACAGTGTTGACCTTACTTGACTTTAGTAATGCATTTAACAATGTGGATTTTGATCTACTGTTAGCTATCTTAGCTTCTCTTAACATATCTCCTGAAGTGATTGACTGGTTTCATAGTTACTTGTTTGGTCCCCGGCAACGGACACGTGTAGATGATTCGTTCTCTAACTGGTGTACGATTAATGCAGGTGTACCGCAAGGTGGCGTGTTGTCTCCTCTCCTCTTTTCAATCTTCATTAGTTCGATCACGCTCCAATTATCTTCTCGCTACCACCTGTATGCAGATGATCTCCAAGTATATGAGCATGCCAAATTGATGGATTTACCCAATACTATAGGTTTATTAAACAAAGATCTTGACTTAATTGTGGATTGGTGTAAGTCACACGGTCTTAAAGTAAATCCATCAAAAACAAAAGCAATAATTATAGGCAGTCAAAAATTGGTTAATCTTATAGATTTTTCTTCCCTACCTGGTATTATTTTTGATGGGACACCTGTGCCATATAGTGACACCGTTAAAAATCTAGGTGTTACTTTTGACAAATTTTTATCTTGGGCTCCACAGATAAGCGAGGTAAGTAGGAGGATGTTTGCGTCGGTCGGATCTCTCCGTCGATTAAGTAATTTTTTACCCATACCTACCAAAATTGCGCTTGCACAATCACTTCTTTTACCGATTCTCGATTATGCTGACACGTGTTATCTCAATTTAAATGAGGAGATGCTTAATAAACTTGAGCGCATTCAGAATCTATGCATACGGTTCATATTTGGACTTCGAAAATATGACCATGTCTCCGAATATCGCGAAAAACTCAAGTGGCTTCCGATCCGTCTTCGCAGGAATACTCACATTCTTTCTCTTTTATACTGTATACTATTCAATCCCACTTCCCCTACTTACCTTAAAGAGCGATTTGAGTTTCTTGGTGACACTCACTGTCGCTCTCTTCGCTCTGATAAAAACCTCACCCTAAAAATTCCATCTCATAACACTTCCTTCTATTCTAAATCCTTTTCTGTTGAAGCTGTTAGGCTCTGGAACTCCCTACCGCTGCACATTAGAAGTGCGCAGTCTATTGATAAGTTTAAAAAACTTGTCAAAGCGCACTTCTTTCCTCCTTAAATAGTAACTCCTCTAAAAAATTACTACCTACTCATTTTTCCGTACGTTTAGGCTGTATGTATATATTTTTGTATTTAAAATGTATTTATTTATATTATAGATGTATGTATTTATGGATTATATTATATATGTCGTGTGTATTTTCTATCCACCTACGTACACCCTTACCCTTTCTCACAGGTCATTTTATCCTCTGCAATGTGGTTGCCTGGTAGAGATCGCTCCCAAGCGATAAGGCCGCCAATTGTACCTTTAAATAAATTATGTTCTTTTTTCTTCTCATATGTATTTTTTGGTGTACAATAAAGTGTATTTCATTCAATGTTTGGGAAACACTGATCTAGAGCATTTAGTCATCAAAGTCAAATTTGGTGGTCAGTTTAATTTTTATAAGACTTGCAACGAATATTCGGCTATTATTCGGTATTCGGCCTATTAGGCTACTTTTATCCTATTCGGTCGAATACCGAATATTTATTATATTGTAGTCAGATAATTAGTAAAATGAAAATATTGATTTATTTATTTTTTCTTGTAATCATTAAAGTAGTCATAGGCACATAATCAATTTCCATATTATTAAAATCAAAAAAGAATTATCAGATAAATGTTTATGCACTCGAATTATCGTAATGAGGGCAATCCACGACTTTTTCTGCCACCAGGGCAGCGCCACTTATAAGTGAAGTATAATATTTGACAGATTTCATAATGGGGAAATTAATTTGTTCGAAAAATGTATTAATAACATTAAAAATAAATAAACTAAACCATAAATATTCATAAAAGTAGAAAAATGAAATAAAGTTAAAAATGTGCAAAAAAATTAAAGAGCAAACCACTGAGGCATTGTCTTGTGTATTAATATAATACTCTTAATACTGGTAAACTTTTATTAAAAACTAACTTCTCAATCAAATTACATTGTGTAAAAAAAAAGCTTTACCTCACTCACTCAACTAGCGACATCTGGTGAGTAGAAAATTATTAGCCCTCATTAAAGTGGAAGATAACGGTGCAGAAAAACTAAGTTTTCTTCATTTTCTAGCAGTGGTTTACTCTTTTTGTTCTCGTAGTCAATCCCAGCTTCAAAGGTAGACGCTCTGAAGACTAAACTAAGTATACTCCCTTACCGGCCGAATACTTTTGCCTAATATTCGGCTATTCGGTATTCGGTGTGTGTTGCTGAATATACTTTTCGTTGCAATTCTAATTTTTATGGAGTTTCTCCTGAATATTTAATATTAATTTTATATAATAGGTATGTTAATTTTAAAAATTGAATATTTTATAAATTGATTTTAATTTAAATTATTATAGGTTTTTTTTTCTTTAAAAAAACGTTACCCCCACACTATGTTTTTCTCCTGTATCGTGGCGGCAGTTTACAAACACAAATTGCACAAGGACAAACATCCAGACCCGGAACAATTATTTGTAGGCCATACAAATACTTGTTCCGTTCGGAATTCGAACCCGCAGCCCCCAGCGCAGCAACTCATTGCTAAGCCACTGCGCCACAGAGCCGTCAATATTGCCGTTATTTTTATAGTGGGAAATTATTTAAGTATTTTTATTCTATAAAGCAATTGAATATTAAATATGTTAGTAACTATCGTAACTAAAGGCGCGTCTCCACCAAAAATGTTGACAACATTTATGTTTCCAACTTTTGCCAATCAACAAAAGTTGTTTCAAAATGTTGCAAGAAGCGTCTCCACCGTGGGAACAAATGTCGGCATCAAGCGTATTCCTTTGATGTTGCCGCCGAAAATGGAAACACGACTTCCGACATTGTTTCGTTTTGTTGCTAAAACTAAGTGATTACAGAAACATTTGTCGGCAACACGTGTTGACAAATGTTGTGTTGACAACAAAACTTTGGTGGAGACGCCCCATAAGACCTTTTCTCTGTATAAAATTTTAAGTGTATTATCTAATTCTAATTTGTCCAAGGTATTATCTATATAGCGTAACGGATTAGTAAGCAGATGTGGCAATGAGGCTGGTCATATACTTCGAAGAACCGACAACTGATGGGGAAAAGAGTATCTAAATTGACAGCCTCATGTCGGTAAGCATTATAGGGCGGCCCCCCACTAGATTGAATGAAAACCTTGTAAGAGAGATGAAGGAAGCTGATAAATGCTGCTGCCCCGGGACCGTGGTTTGTGGCATTCCTTGTGGGAGACATGTGTTCAGCATAATAACATAAATGAAAAGGGGGCTAAGTTCAGTACAAACGACGTTACTAGGCGGCTCCGCCAATAAAAGAATCGAAATCTGAATTGGCCCCAAGTGCCACAGAACACTATTACTCCTACGGAGTGTCACCAGCCAAGTGCCACCGGATATAAATTAAAATCAAGTGCTTACAGCCATAAAAATGTTTGTAATAAAAGCGCCATCTATTAAAATTTACCAACTTAACATCAAAAAACTTTAGGTAACATGTCATTTAGTTTATAATACAAAGTTTAGATGGCACTTAGAATTTAGTAAGTGATATGTATTATATTTTTAGATAAGCTATTTTGACATATAATATGTACATTAGAACAAGTAAACGAAACATAACAAGCTAGATATATAGAATAAAAGAATTTAACGTTTAAGTGACCAAAGATATGTCAAACTTCCGTCTACGACATTGACAGGCTGTGTTCAGCGTGTTGCTATTATGTTACGGCGACTTTTATACTTACGAACATGTCTGTGTTAAAAACTCACATACAATATATCTGTGTACGAACTTAAGCTTGTTTTATTAATCAAAAAAAAATAAGATAGCCTAGACAATAAATTTAATATGGATTTTCTGTTAAATAAAAATATTACGATAGTATCCTAGATATTTTTGTTATGACAACAGAACAGAGTTTGTTTAGTCTATGCTATTTCAAAATGGCTTCTGGTAGTAATGGCCTATCGAGATTTTATTTTCTTTGTTTACTTTAAAATATGTTTTCCGTTTACATTTATTGACTTTTAAGTGGCATTATAAAATGTTTATAGATATACCAATCCTTAACAGTTGTTTGGATTTATATGAGTGCGTGATTTGACACAAAACAAGTGATTCTTGTTTCACCTTGTAAAGAGAAAATGGGGAACTGTTTTAGTAGTACAGGGGAAAAGGATTCTAAGAATAAAAATGAAAGAGCGAATCCTCACGAAGAAGACCCGAGGCCATTCCACACTCCAGTGCCTACACCGCCCCCGGATCCAATTAGATCTACTGTAAATCAGGGGCCTGATACAAGTGAAATACCTCCCACCCGAATATTTGTGGCCCTGTACGATTATGACGCTAGAACCGATGAAGATCTTAGCTTTAGAAAGGGAGAACACCTGGAAATCCTTAATGACACGCAAGGGGATTGGTGGTTAGCTAGGAGCAAGAAAACCAAACAAGAAGGCTACATTCCTTCGAACTATGTCGCCCGCCTGCAATCTATAGAGGCCGAACCGTGAGTAATCACCTCTGTTTTTATGCAATCTACAATAGTGAGCGGTTCCTGTACGATTTCTTTTCCTTTACGTGTTCTTATTAACTACACATGCATTTCATTTGGTATCGTAAATATGCATAAATGTTTTTGGCACATCATAAATCATTAAAGTAAAAATGCCACGATAATATATCTACATTATGAATGAAAATATACTAATAGCAGTACAACATTGAACAGTGTTTAAGGACTATAAAACAATTTTTTTTTCTATTTAATCTCAATCAATTTTATAACTGATAAATCATATCAAAGAAATGTAATTCATTCACAGAAGTGAAAGCATAACTTTAACGCACACAACTGTATTAATCATGTGAACAGAAATGGAAAGTTCCTCATGTTACTGTAATTATTAAATAAAATTATCATTGTTGTGTGGTAAACAAATTTTATTATCACAAACCACTACGAATATTATGGAGATTTGAAGAGTATAAAGATTTGAAGAAGCTTTGTTTTATAGATTAAGGGTGACAAGTGAGCACACAGTCCACCTAATGGTACTGTGTCCACTGTGGCCCAAAGATACCTACATCTATCCTCGATAAATAATCAAAATGTAGATCAACCCTGAGGTCTCAGATGTATTGTCTTATTAACCATTAAAAGGGTCCATTTATCACATATTATACACTAGTCATAGAAAACACAGCAGTACAAAGGTATTCTGTGAGGGAGTGGTCCCCCCCCCCCCCCCCCATTTGAGCTGAATCATTCATGCTACAACCATAATATAATGCAGGGTGTCTAATTATCTATCTATGTAATTTATCTATTTTATATAAATGTTTAATAGTTATTTAAAAATTAATATAAAATAGATAAAATGTGTATAGTACTGATTAGGACTTGGAGATATGTATCTACTTTTGCTTCAAAATGCACTTCAATGAGGGCTGTTCACCAGATGTCGCTAGTTGGGACTGGGGTGAAGTTTTTTTCAATAATAATTAAGATATTGCATTTTAAGAGATGATTGATAATGTTTTTCCCCCTATATACATAGTCTAATTTTCATAATTTTTGGAAATGTAGATATAATGTAAAACTAGATCTGTTCATTTTTATTTTAAAGAAATATTGCATACGTATATTATCATCTAAATATTTATATTTTTGACTTAAAAATTTATTTGAATTTTTTTTTTATTTACTTATCTGAATTACTATAAAAGAAAAACGTACAGATGTAGATTAAGGGGTAATGAAACAAAAAATACTTTATTTTGTAATGGTTTGACGGGGTGAAAATATTTTTGCCCGAAACAATATTTCCAAAAGGAAATGTAGGCTATTAATTCCAAGACTTGCAACTGTCTCAAATGCACAATATGGCGATACGGAGTGAGCGGTATGAAACAGACAGCATTTTTGAAAATACCTACTTGTAACAGGTATTGACATTTCACAATCTTCTTAAATAAAAGTTTATTGGTTTCTTGAGTATTATGTAAATAAACATAGCATTGCCACAGTGGTTTGGTC